ACCCAAAAATTTCAAAAAGGCCGATTTTTATGAATTTTGGATACAAGCAATGCAAGAAGAACTAAACCAATTTGAAAGAAAATTATGTTTTGGATTTAGTTGCCTGAACAAATGATCAAACCGTAATTGATACAAAATGGGTTTTAGAATTAAATAGATGAAAATGGGATTATTGTACGTAACAATACTAGATTAGGGGTTCAAAGTTACAATCAAGAAGAAAGCATAGATTACGAGGAAACTTTTGCATCGGTTGCTAGGTTAGAATTATTCCCATGCTTTTTGCAATGTTTGTCATAAAAATTTCACTCTCTATCAAATGGATGTTAAAAGTGCACTTCTAAATGGTTTTATTTAAGATGAATTTTTTTTCGAACAACTCCACAGTCATAAAGATCGCAAATATTCGAATCATGTTTTTAAAATTAGAAATGCTCTTTAGGGTTTGAAACAAGCACTTAGAGTTTGGTATAAACGTTTGAGCAAATTTCTACTCTCAAATGGCTTCAAGATTGGAAAAGCTATCACTAGACTTTTTGTTAAAACTCATAAAAAAAATTTGCTTATCGTTCAAATTGCTGATGTGGCTTTTTTTTCATAAACCATTAATGCTATGGGTACATAAACCAATCGATAAAGGTGTCCAAAATGCTGATGTGGCGTTTTTTTCACCCAATTTCTCACCATAAGTGGGCACAAGACCAAACAATAAAAAATGCTGAAAAAATGTGCAAAACCCAACAAATTCAAATTGAAATTAGCCCTACTGTATAGACATTTCCTTCTCATTTTCATTCACTCGTTCCGGGCAAATACGCTTCTTCATCGAAGGAGACCCCATTCCCGGTGACTCCAGTATCTTCAACGCAGTCCAAAATTAAACTCGCTCCCGACGACGGTATTAGTTATCAATCCCCAGAATGAGTGGGTTTCTATTTTTGTTTGGTAGATAACCTTTTATTTCCGTTTTTGGGTTTTAGTTTTCCCTAATTGGTCACAGATCAACTCCTATATCTTCAACAACGGTATGATTCAGCTTACTCTTCTTCTAAAATGGATTTCTGTTTTCACGAGATCTAACAGCAATTTATTATTATTATTTTTTTTCCTTTTTTTTTTTGGTTTTAGTTGTACGATGTCTTTATGGGTTTTAGCTGCACGATTTTCCTTTCCCCTGCCATTTAGACGGGAAGTCACCAAGGCACAAACACTGTTGACTGCTGTCGTATTTATTTGGTTATATGTGATCTTGTTAGAGTGGCGATTTACTGTACAGAAATTGTTTTTTGTGGTTCAGTTTTTAGCTACATCTTACCACGACCTTGTCGTCCCTATTCAGCTATACAGCCATCTTTCGATTATGCTACTTCATGTGACCTTAGATCTTCATATGAACTTAGATTATGCTATTTCCGCAGCTGTAATATTGAATGGTTGGAAAGAATAGGGGTATCTACCGTAGTTGTTGAGATCCTGGGCATCAACTGTATGACTGTCCAAAAAAACAATGTCCTAACTGTTCACAAGGAATTGTAAAAGTGATGGAGGTTGAGAAGAAGACGAACAACATAAGCTGAATATTCTTGTGTTGTACAAAAGATTGTGGATATTTCAACTGGAATGACGGGAAGTCCTCGAAGAAGAAACCCTTGCCATTTGAAGGAGAGTCTAATAATTATTGTGATGGAATGCAATCAAGCCCCGTTGGGACGTCTCCAAACAAAGCTAAAGTAATAATTGATGACTTGTTGAAAAGTGTTGCTGAATTAAAGATAGAGGAAGAGGATGTTGAGATATCATTCAACATAACTATCCGGAAGGAAAAGGGAAAATTAGAAGATATTGCCAAGGAAAAGCGTAGGGAGGAGAGCGAATTTTTATGTTTATGTTTATGTTTATGTTTACATGTCTTATGTAGTTGTAGCTACCGGTTGAACTTATGTAATCGGATATTTCAACGACATTATGTTTATGTTAATGCTGAGCCACATTTTAATTCCACAGTTCTATGTTTATGTTCACTTCATGCTTGAAATGCTTAAATTTTGGGCGTATTATTTGACCATTGATTCTAATAGGACTTTTGCTTCAATGCAAATGGGCATGCAAAAACACTGAGATCTCTCCATAGGATCAATGTTCCTTCCTTTCTTTTTAAATTTTTTTCACCGTAAGTAAATACTCAGTTGAGAACAATTCTATCTTTTTTGAACCAAGTGACTGCCAGGGTATAATTTAGAGAGAAAAACAGGATTAGAGACTTTACATGCTTAACTAAGATTATTGTTGATTACATTTTCATGCCTTTCCTGTAATGTCCTTATTTTGACTTTGTCTCGATATCAATTATTTTGACGTAGCCCACAGTATCTATACATGCAATCCATTCATAACCGTAATAGACATGAAAGGACAAAGTCGTAATAGACAATTCGAGCCACATAACATTTAGATTCTGCCCGAGTTTACAAAATATTACAACCTGAATATTACAAAATAATAGACAATTTCAGCCACCTTAATAATGTTATTACAAAATTTACACCCAAAAACTAGAACCAAATTCGTACAAAAGTGCTCCACTCATTCATATCACATGAATGAACAAGCATGAATGGAAATGATAGTTCTCCAAACCTCATTCACGATTCCATCACCTCCAACACAGATAATACCTGAAACCACATAAGATCATGGAATTGGGTAGTTAAACACATTAGGAAAGCTGGGTCAAACAGTTCCCAAACTTTAATGTGCATAACATACTGATAAAAGCATAAAAACAAAGAAACTCAGTTTCCCTATGAACATGATTTGCATTTCTCACACAAATAACATAAACAAAATAGACATTGGCTTCATCCCTTCAGTATGTGTAAATTTTATGTTACTTTTCTATATCTTACTGATTGGAATCGAAGAGAAAGTCTCTTTTTCATGACTTCCACCTATCAATCTCGTCCCAGAAAATTGACAGACCTTTTTTAGCACGGTTCATGTAATCAAAGTACTGAGTCATGTAGGACATCTTTGGATAGCTATCTAAAGAGTTCTGAGTCATTCTGCCTCATGTTACATATCAAAAGAAACGGGCTGTAAATCTTCCACATCAAAAGAAACAGGTTGAACGTCTTTAGTGTAGAAGAAGACATTCAAAATAATAGATTCTCCCTACAAACATTCAATAACAACAACGCTCTCTTGCATTACAACAAGTTGGCGTGTTTGAGAAGATGAAATGCAGTGATCTTTGGCCTTGTCATCATTTTTTGTGTGCACGACATTTTCTTCCAATCTACTACACTTAAGCGAAAGTGTTGAACTTGTACCTATACATGATGTAAACAATAAGTTGGTTAAAAGGCAATTGAGATAAGAGTAATGCAGAGATAGTAAGACCTTCTTTCAACCCTTTGATTTTTTTGAATTCACCTCCATTGGACTCTTATGAGCAACTTTCCGGGGGCACCTTTTCTTTTCGTAAGCTTCGAGTCCAAAATGTGGATGCTTTCATCATTTTGAGCTTCAGGTACGTGCACAACCAAGTGACCAAAATTCTATTTAGATAATTGGTCTGTTTGGGATTCAATCCACCCCAATAGATGATTGGATTGTTCTTCGTTCGGTGCTATCAAGTCTGTCATAAAAGCGAGACACAACCTCTCGTCCTTAATTGGTCAGCTGTACAAACCAAACTATCGTATGTCACTGGGACCCGCATATATGGTTGACTAACATCTCGCCTCCATCTTCGCAGGACATATTTCTCAGGAAGCCGTATGTCATTCCAAATTAAAACTGATATTGAGTGTTTGCAAATGATACCTTGAAACTCAAACAAATGACAATTGCACTCAACCTCAGAACTGTCTCTAAGGAATTTCACTATAAATATTCTTTTCTTCATTCCTCCACTAAGAATGATATTCTCACGTATTTCATACTTAGTTCCCTCGGGATAGTCTGTCGCAGATAAGACATCACAGTAGACCTTTCCCGTGAACTCTTGTTGGAACTCTCTAAATTTCGTGATAATGTACAGATCTTGAAATTGTTTCTCCATATCGTACTTAGTGACACATGGAATCATTTGCAAAAATGATCTGAAATCAGCCTGAAATTCTTTCTCCACTTTACTTCTCAACGCTATTGCTCTACAAAAAGCTTCAAAGAAGTCTTCGAATGCACATAGCCGTCGAATAATGCATTCATGCTCTCACTCCTTTGTGTGGTTGACATACCTGCCCAAAATTTAGTGTTTAGGAAGCATGGTACCCAACGACTTCTCTCTTCATAGAGTCCACTCAACCAATCATGATCTCGCAATTCAAACTGATCAAGCATATTCAACCAGCCTTCCTCAAATTCTTCACAGCTTAATGGGTCGTAGACTAACACGTCTAGCATGCATTATTGGACCTTTGGCTTTGTGATAGCCAAACTTCTACAGGAACTTCTTTAGTATGTGCCACAAGGACCATCTATGCTTCGCCTTAGGAAAAACAATTTAAATAGCATTTTGCATAGCTCGATCTTGATCTGTAATAATTCCATTAGGAGCTTGACCATTCATGCATTCTAGCCATGTTCGAAACAACCAAACAAATGTGTTAGTGTCCTCATTTGAAACCAAACCACAGCTAAGAAGAGTTGATTGCCCATGGTGTGTGACGCCCCGAACTTACGCTTCGAGGGTCACGTACTAAACATAATAGCTTCTGCCTTTGGTATATGTAAATACTCTTAAATAGAAGTATTTCATGTTAAGAACTTATTTTCAACTCGGTAAAATAATTCTTATTAAATTTGATAGCCGACAAAAGTGCATGTCAACAATAAATTATACTTTACATATACGGCCTCGGCACTATCAAGGTTAGTTGAGGCAGCAAGTTTGACAATTTTTATAAAATTCATCCCAACTCCGTTTTACATGAAATTTGTGGCATTAGAAAGATAATTTCAAATAGTTTTCTAGGTTAAAATATGAAAATTTTCCAAGAAAACATGATATAGACGTTTTACTGAAAACAGTGAAGTATTACACAGGA